CCCCCCTCCCGAATCCTATTCCAACTAGGAAAGGGGGGAGTCCTACTCCCGATGGGAGTAGGACTCCTCCTGGCGCGCCCTCTCCCTGACCGGCCGCACCTCCCTTGCTCCTTTATATACGGGGGCAGGGGGGCACCCCATAGACACAACAATTGATCGTTTGATCTTTTAGCCATGTGCGGTGCCCCCCTCCACCATAGTCCACCTCGATATTACTGTAGCGGTGCTTAGGCAAAGCCCTGCGTTGGTAGAACATCAACATCGTCACCACACCGTCATGCTGATGAAACTCTCCCTCAACACTCAACTGGATCGGAGTTCGAGGGATGTCATCGGGCTGAACTGTGCTGAACTCGGAGGTGCCGTACATTCGGTACTTGATCGGTCGAATCGTGAAGACGTACGACTACATCAACCGCGTTGTGGTAACGCTTCCGCTTTCGGTCTACGAGGGTACGTGGACAACACTCTCCCCTCTCATTGCTATGCATCACCATGATCTTGCGTGTGCGTAGGATTTTTTTTGAAATTACTACGTTCCCCAACAGGGCTTGCCAAACAAAGCCGTGATGATACGGACATGCTGGTCACGCAAGGGTGAATCGAATAGCTCCTTGAGCTCTTGAACATCTTCCTCATGTGGCACTAGATCAGCCGGGACTAACCCTAGCGCACTCAGTAACACATTCTCAGCTGGTGTGGCTTTCATCATCGACGTCGTTGTTGATCTTTTGGAGGCTCTCGTGGTGCCCTAGGAGTGCATGGCTCTGGCCCCACCCTTAAAGCCGAGGCCTGGACCTCCTTGAGCAGGGGCGGAGCAAGCCGTTTAACAATGTTGGAGCAAAAGGTTTTGAGCTTGGCGAATGCTGCTGCCTCTTGTCGTGTCATTTCTTCGGTGAGCGCTGCCAGTTCCACTTCCTTCGGTGCTTCCCCTTCCTCTGTATCTTCTGCAATGTCAGCCAGGCTTAGCGCGAGCTTGCCCATTCCCACTTGCTCAGACTCCGCTGCCATGGAGCGCCCAAGCTCTTGCTGCTCTAAAACGCCCGCTGCAACCGTACGTGCATAGGTGTGGGCCCGTGCAAGATTCCCATCTTGCTGCACTGTAGCGCCCTCAACATTCGTACGTGCAAGTGTGAGGACCCATGCATGATTCCCATCCAACTGCTCTGGCCCCACCTCCATGCCATGCTGACTTGGTGAGCTCTCATTGGTTGCAATGATTGGCCCACGCTCTTCCTGGTGCATGATTTCCTCGGTTGGCGCCAAAGAGTGCGGCATCTCTATAGCCATCTCCAGCGTCCCGCCAATGCCAATCATGGGAGGCACAACTAGTTCCATCGCCGCTCCAGCTGTCGTTGGTGACATATACTCTATCGTGGGTAGTGGCGGGGCCACCCCTTGGCGGAGGCGATCCTGTCTGCTCCCTATCCCCCCTGCGATGGGGCCCTTCTTTCCTCTGAACTCTACGCCCCCACACACGTCTCTGTCTCCACCTCCAACCCCGTGCCTGCCCCCACCACGAGTTCGCTAGCTGGCGGTCGTGCAATGGACACCAGAACGTTCTCCTCCTCATTCCTCCCATCATTGCCAATCATTGGGGGAGCCACTCTCGAAGCTTCCGCCAGTCCATGGTCTCCATTCACCTCTGGGTTAGAATTGTTGATGGCTGGCACACCTGGTCCCGAAAGATGGTCAAAAGCTGACGGCCTGACGGAAATCCTATCCCGAACCATCACTCTTGGACGGACCTCCAACGGCTCCACCACTGGTGGCATGGGCGGTAGTCTCCAATCCTGCACCGCCGGCGGTGAACCGGCGACCGCGCTCCCGCTCCCAGCCGCACTACGGCGATGGCTGCCATCCGAAGTCGCCGCCCAGCCTCCCCGCACATCCCTAGTGCCTCTCTGCCATTGTCGATGCGTCGTAACCGGCCCCGCCCCACCCGAGTAGGAGCCAGGGCTCGGCATTCCACTCTGTCCACTGCTAGACGAATCGACAGCACACCAGGTCGGCTCAACCACGCCGGCATAGTCCGTCACCGCATCCAAATGTATCAAGATCTTGTACTAAAGCAGTGTCGGCTCTCTCAATGGCGGCCTCTGCCCGGGCTCTGGCACGGCCAACCAACAAAGTGAGGGGATCGCCTCCGGGTCCGTCGTCCATGCCGTGAGCTTGAAAGACGAGAGGTCGGACCTGTTGCTTGTCTCCGGCGCCACCTCATCCACTAAGCATGACGAGCCCAACAGCTGCTCTGCCACCTCTCGCTCCAAGCATGGGGAGGGATGCCCTCCATCTCCAAATGGACCTTGAACCCCATCAACGCATGCACCGCTTGCTCTTGCCGATTCCATGGCCTGAAGTACAGACGGACCCCATGATGCTCATGGAAAGGCCGCGCGCTCACCCTGCTCCAGTGCTCTGCCCTGCCAAACACGACCAGGAAATCTTATGGGTTGTAATTGATTACCGAGACCCACTCCCGATCCACCTCTAACAGCTCCTTGAGCGCATCCAGGACAAACTCTGGCGAAAGGTCTCTCCTTGCACCCCCGGCGTACGCTACCATGGCGAACTGCAGGCGCCGCTCCAAGTCCTCCATGGACTGCGAGCGACGCACCACACAAATGTCCGCCGGCTCCACCGCCTCCAGAGAAGGGTCAGAGCGCACCTCCAGATGTGGGATGAACAGGGCCGGCCAAACTGGCGTCGGCGGTAGACCCTGCCTCACCGACG